CTAATCTGCTCATTATTATTATATATTTTTTTAGTCATAATTTGGAAATGGAGGCCTTTAACTTTCATGCAGTGTACATCATATATATATACAAATGCCTAACGCTGATAAGATATATATATATGATGTAGTATTCAAGATATGGAAATGGCAATGGAAATGGCAAACACTAAATTTAGAAATTTGAGACACAAAGTTATTGATTTGGTCCCTTAACCACTGCCACCACCGTAGATTATCACTCAATTGCAGTTGACAGTAGTGTCACCACAATCACATATAGCCTCCGTTGATACAAGCAATCAATCATTCGATCTATTAGGGCGGGTCAAATAAGGCTTTTACTGATTATGAACTTGAGATTAAAGGCTGGAATACGGAAGCATAAGTTTAAAAGTTGATCGCCGAAGGTTGACTGCCAGGGATGAGGCTGAAGGTGCCATCCTCGACAGTGACTACGATAAATTGATAAGATTGTTACCAGTAATCGAGATATTTTGATAACATGTTAGATATGAAAGATACATAGGGGTTTATATAGGTGATGAGATGTGTGAAGAGTAAGAAACCTAAACCCTATATGGTAAACCTATATATAGTTAGAATATAATCTACAATATAGTACGTAATAATATATTCTAATAGCCCCTCAAAATTAAGGTGGATTGAATAAAACCATCTTGAGTTTGGAAATAATTAAGATCTTGAAAGCGGCATAGCAGAAGCGATTTGGTAAAGATGGGTTTTCACTCATGATGAAGATGGAGACACGATTAACAGCTGACGTGGCATTACTACTAACACTGCTGCTGACTGTGTCTAATATGGCAACTAACGTTACATGTGATGTGGCATTACTGCTGGCACCGCTACTGGCTGTGTCTGACATGACGACTGACGTAATAGGTGATGTGGCACTACTGCTGGCACCGCTACTGGCTATATTTGACATGACAACTGTCGTGGCAGGTAACACACTACTACTAGCACTATTGTTGATGTGTCTTGGAGGCTGATTGGGCGGCCAAATAATGCTTTGAGGTATTATTCTTCTTTTACTTTACATTGATGATATGATCATCACTGGAGATGATTTGACGGGAATTTAGGAGTTCAAACAGTTTCTTAATCGTTAGTTCGAGATGAAGGATCTTGGACCCCTCAATTAATTTCTTGGTCTTGAGATCACTACAGCTACATATGGTTACTATCTCACTTAGGCAAAATACATATCAGATCTTCTTTCGAAATCAGGCTTAACTGACAGCAAGATTGTTGATACACGTACACTTGAGTACAATGTACCCAAGACTTAATTTACATGATGGTGAATCTCTTTGAGATGGTACACTGTATCGATAGTTGGTTGGTAGTCTGGTTTATCTTACTGTCACCCATCTATATATCTCCCATGCCGTCCACATAGTTAGTCAGTTCATGGCTGCTCCTAGATCTACTTATTTTGTTGCAGTTCTTCGCATCCTTCACTATCTCATAGGCATTATGTTTTATGGGCTTTACTTTTCTTCCCAGTCATCACTTGTTCTTCGTGCCTATTCAGATGCCGACTGGACAAGAGATCCTACAGATCGTTGTTCTACCACAGATTATTGTTTCTTTCTCGGTGATTCACTTATTTCTTGGCACAACAAGAAACAAACTGTGCTTGCTCGATCTAGCACAGAGAGGCTGAATATAGGGCACTTGTTGATATTTTGTCTGAGCTTCTGTGGTTACGTTGGCTCCTTCAGGACATAGGAGTTTCTTCATCCATTGCCACTCTTATTTATTACGATAATAGAAGTGCAATTCAAATTGCGCACAATGATGTCTTTCACGAGTGTACCAAACACATTGAGATCGATTGCCATTTTGTTCGTCATCATCTTCTACAAAAGACCTTACAGTTGTGGTCCATTACTTCCCTTGATCAGATAGCAATGTCTTCACCAAATCGCTTCCGCTAGGCCGTTTCAAAGATCTTGTTTTCAAGCTTAAGATGACTTTATATAACCCACCTTGAGTTTGAGGGAGGCTGTTAGAATATATTGTATTTGATTACCATATATATAATAACCATATACATATAGGGTTTACTTGTTCATCACACATAACCCCTCCTATATAAATATTTATTGTATCTCTTATACTAATATAATACAAAGTTCTATACTCACTCTTATTTTTAACAATCAGCATTAGGCATGTATATATATATATATATATATATATATATATATATATATATATGTATGTATGTATGATGTAGTATTTAAGCTAAGGACGTGCAATGGAAATGACAAACCCTAAATTTAGAAATTTGTGACACAAAGTTATTGGTTTGGTCTCCTAACTACTGCCATCACCGTAGATTATCACTCAGTTACAGTTGACAGTAGTGTCACCACAATCACATACAATCTCCGTCGATACAAGCAATCAATCATTGGATCTATTGAACCAATAACGGACTAGCAGCTTGCCTCTGCTAAGTAGAGAATATAAATGTTAAAGTTACACATTTAATTTTTATCAGTTTAAACTTTCAAAATTCACAGATTACACGTAATAGTTTTGACACATGTAAATTTAAATCTGATTATTAGGGAAGGGACGTGTTAACGTATATAAATAATTTACAACTTTTCTATAGCTCAACCACATACTATGTTTATGAGTATATGCTCTCTTTTTTTTTCAGTTAACATGCTACTGTTAGCCAAATAATTAACTAACCAAAAACTTTTTGTGGGATTTTTGTTAGCATCAGAAAGCAAAAAAGAAGAAGCAATGTATCTCTTTTTTTTGCTTATCCTCAGCAATCGAATATGCTTGTCACACATCAAGATTCGATAGGCAAGCAAACAACATCAATAGTCAAAAGCACCTGATGAATAAGTTCAACAAAAAATTTATTGTATGATAGGTTAAATTTAATGTGTGCATTTAATCTGCTAGATTTAATCAATCTTATGATTTGGCCATTATATATATATATATATATATATATATATATATATATATATATATAAAATATATAGCCATAATCAACTGATGAGATTTATAATTAATAGAGATCACAATCCAAACCCTACACCGTTTGTCCACGAATTAATTGAGAATTTAAATTAAAGTTCAAAGTGGTCCTATTTTTTTGCACCTATGATAGTACGCGTATGACTTTAATTTGAAGCATCTTAATTAGTTTGGTACTAAACTTAATTAATGGTAATTGATGATTTTTTGGGCCAGACATTAATAAAAAGAATACAAAGTATAAACTTCAAAGTTATGATGATTATAACTTTTTTGAAGTGAATAGTTGAGTATATGACAAGTTGTGCTATCTAATATGTAAAAATAAATCTACCGTCCAGCAATAAAAGGCCTGTTGCTCTTTAGTTGCTTTTAGTATGCTTCTGTTAAAATATATACACACACACACACACACACACACACTACGGAGTATATAATTTCCATGTCATTAATATAAATAAAGAAATGATTATAGTGGGAGACGCATCTGGAGGGTGGTCTACGACTAGGTTGGGGACATGTAAGCACCCTATTGATGGGGCTCCAGTCACGACTCATGAATATAAACCATCAAAGCATATATCTTACTTTATCACCATACGGCTCTATAAAGCAGTTGCTATACATATGGTTGTTCTGCTTATATGTTTGTGTATACAGTGTATATATTATATATATATGTGTGTGTGTGTGTATATATATATATGTATTTTTTCATAAGCAATGTGAGTTTTTGTTTTTATTTTTATTTTTATTGTCTGAACCCTCGCACTATTCTTAAACACTTGAACCACATCTTGCCGTTTAAAAATAGAAAATGTACTAGATGATGTAAATTAGTACTTAAACACATTTCTTTTTGGGTAATTTAATACTTTACACATTTCTAGCTACCTGCACAATACAACAACTTCTCATAAAATTCCTAAAAGGAAAAAGGAAAAGCTCATTAAATTAATTGCTAGCGCATTTGCTACACAATATGCTAATTGGATTGTTGTCCAAGTTTAGCTCTCCTCAAAGCCCCCGTCTCTCTCTCTCTCTCTCTCTCTCTCTCTATACACACACACACACACACACACATTTAAAGAGAGAAGAAAGTGCTATCATCAGCATGTTCACAAAGCCCCTCTCTCTCTCTATATATACACACACACATATAAAGAGAGAAGAAAGTGCTATCATCAGCATGCTCACAGATGAGCTTTGCTCGATGCGAATGAACGCCTTTCAACTCAATGATTTGATATCAAAACTGTGAAGATTTGTCTTTCAATCCAATGGTTAAGAAAAAAAGCTGATTAGAGCGTCCTTTTGATAGTCTCTCCTTCATTTAGAATATTAAATAAAAATATAATAATGCATTAAGAGAGTTCCAACTCTTCATATTTAATCACAATCTACATAATTGAAACGTAATTTTTGAAATATGTAAAAAGTTAAATAAATTATTTAATATATTTTTCAATTCGCAGTTAAAAATAAAGAACTCTTATTACCCGAAGGTCCACTTAATAACATTACTTTTATGTAATAAAGCATATAGCTACATGTTTAGAATTTACATATATATATATATATATATATATATATATATATATATTTTTTTTTTTCCCTCTCCTTGGTACGAAATGCATATAGAAGATTTTTATTTTATTTTATTATTATTAATTTTTTTTTCAAAAAGTTAAAGGTTCATAGAAGTTGTTGCAAGATAAACTCCAATCGTTGAAAAAAGTTGCTGTATTATTATTATTATCTCCGACTACGCACACAAGTACGTAAAATTCGGAAGAAGAAAAAGCAGAAAAAGGTAAAAGCCCACCAACAATTCTCTTCATCTGTTCTATTATTATACATCCCACATCCTATGTGATTCCACGCATGCGTATGTCATCTATACAATACACATCACATATATATATATATATTAATATTAGATGTCATTACTCATTGCGATCTTGGTTAATAGAGAGAGAGAGGAAGCTTCCTTTGGTCAACCTTAGAGGACATAGAGAGATGGGAATTTTTCATATATAGTTCCACAGTTTAGATTCGTTTTCTCTGCATCATTCCTTCCTTTGATTCAACTCTTTCCCCTCCATAAGAATTCTCCATACCCTTTATTTTTTCTCCACTTGTTCCAACATATATCTCAATACTTTGTCCTAGTTCTTCATGATCACTAGGTTTTACAAAATGGGTTTAGAAGATGTTTGTAACACTGGCCTTAGTCTTAGCTTAGGTTCTCTTGATCACAGGCCCGAGAATCATTTGCTTCATCATCAAAATAAGAAGAAATCGTCACTAAAATCCGATGATCATCCCTTGTTATTTCCATCTCTTGCACTCGGCTTATCATCAAATGAAACATATCGAACAGCTCTAAAAATCGATGTGAGTAAAGTGCACGGCGAAGCCACGACTGTTTTGCAACGACAGGCCTCTTTGCTGAGTGCAGTATCATCATATTCTAACTCCAGTATGAAGAAGGAGAGAGTTGACCTAAGTGGTGAAGAGATAGAGATGGAGGTAGAGAAAGTCTCTTCAAAGTTGAGTGATGATCATGATCATGATCATGATCAAGAATATGAGGAGGGTAGTGCAAGGAAGAAACTTAGACTCACCAAAGAACAGTCTCTTGTTCTAGAGGACAACTTCAAAGAACACAGCACTCTCAATCCTGTATAGTACTACACTCTTTCTCAAGCTTCAATTTATCTCTAATATTAGATAATTTTGTTGAGTTTAGAATATAATGAGAGACTCACTGACCTAATTTGAATTTGTATCCTTTTCCTTTTTTGAATTATCGTGATCAGAAACAAAAGCAGACCTTAGCAGAACAGCTGAATCTACGGCCACGACAAGTAGAAGTTTGGTTTCAGAACAGGAGAGCAAGGTACACACACACACACACACACACACACACACACACACACACAGATTTACTAATTATATATAGCACCCTTCAAGAGTTATCATGTCTATTCACACACTACAATATTGTCTCTAACAAAGATCGAACAATTAATCAACTTTTTCTTTGGGGGAAAAGAGATCATACCATTTAAACTGATATCCTACCCTATTGGTTATTGGATATGTTTGGTCATAATATGAAATATATATGTGTGTGTGTGTGTGTGTGTGTGAATGTACGTTTATTGAATATTTTTCATTTTGTTTAAATAAAAAATGGATACAGGACTAAGATGAAGCAAACTGAAGTAGATTGTGAGGTATTGAAGAAGTGTTGTGAAGCACTAAGAGATGAGAACAGAAGGCTACAGAAGGAGCTGCATGAACTCAAAGCACTGAAACCGATGGCTTCTTGTTATATGCAACTTCCAGCTGCCACCCTTACCGTGTGCCCATCCTGTGAGAGAATTGGTGGCAGTGGCAGTGGCGAAAGCACGTCTAAAAAGCCTTTCCCAATCAGAACAAGGCCTCAGTTTTACAATTCCTTTAGCCATCCATCAGCAGCTTTCTAGGAAAATTACCATGCCAGAACATCTTTTTTCCGTTCGAGGCTTTGGATTCCCTCTAAAATATGAATTTTGTAAGCGTAGCTCCCTTTCTCTAGATCTATGTGTTGTACATAGATATGTTAGTGAATCTTTAATCTATGAAAGGACGTTTTTTTTTTTTTTTTTTTTTTTTTTTTTTTTTTTCTGTCATTTTTTTTTTCCCTTTAATTTGGTAAAAGTGAAAATATTATAAGGGCATACCCCTGAGAACATGTGTATGAAGCTACAAGAATCAGACAGAAAACTGAGGAAAGGCAAAGGCCAATTAACAAGGCAAAAGCCAACCCCAACAAACTGGAACCCTGCAAGAAGGACAAAGAGTACAAACAAGAGCACAAAGCACTAGCTGCCATAAGGCACTTCTCCAAGCTCCATGTGGAGCCTATAGATCTAGCTGCTTAGCAATCTTGAACTCTGATAAAGAGAAGCCTGCTTCTGATACTATATAACAGTGGAAGAAAGAAAGCTTTAGACTGAAGACATTATTATTCCTTTCCCTCCATATGCTGTAAACAAACAACTGCAAAAGTTAGCTTGTTAACAAAAACTTTGATTCAATTAGATTGAGAAGGGCAATGGGCTGAATACCAGGAAATCAATGAAAGGCTTTTAGGTGGGACAAGCTAACTTTTCCAAATGGAATGAAAAAAAAGGGCAATAAAAAAGAGGTTGCCATGAGATTCAGCTGCACAAGAGCAGAGGGGGAAAATTAATGATGGGGATGTACAAGTAAGCTTGGGACTTGTTGTCTCTGGTAGGGAGTTTGGGATAGGAAGCCAAAGAAAAAAGGAATGCCTTGGAATTAATGAGAGGCTTAAACCAAACAAGATTAAACTAATGGACTTGAGGGGATTGAGGAATCAAGGAAGAGATGGTATGGGGAAGGAGAAGGAACCGGATGGAGATGGAATCCAATTCTTTGTATCGTTAGTGGACAAGTCAGGAAGTGGGATGAGACAAGGATCCCTAGAGGTCCTGCAGCAATCTAACCAAATAGGGTCAGAAGTTCCATGAACCATGCTAAATAAGGCTATTGAGTTTGGCAATATATGTGTGCCGAAGAGGGAGGAAGCTATAAAGCAAGGATAAGTCTTTGGTTTAGAGGGCATAAAGGTAGGGCTGTAACTCGAGCAGGTTGGGCGGGTTTAAGGTATAACTTGAGTCCAACTTACCATATAAAATGCTAAACCCAAACCCAATCCTAACCTTATCTTCAATCCCAACTACTCAACCCAAGCCCAACCAATCTTTCTATTTTTAAATTCAGGCTTGCAACTCGGGCTTAGATTCCAGGCTAAAAATTCAGGTTAATTCGGGTTACTCATATGACAAATATTCACACCGAAAATTTAATATGATCTTGAATTAATTTTAGATTAAATTAGTCGTAAAGAAAAAAAAGTTTAAAGACATTTTATAAATTTTTAATAAATTACAAACAAATTATTAGAAAAATTAATTTTTCTAAATATTAATATACAATAAGTTAAAATTTAACAAATGAAGTTGAAAAGAAAAAAGGTAATCATAGTTTAATTATTATATATAATGTATTTAAAATTAAAAATATATATGAAAATAATATTATAATTTGGGTTCGGGTTTGCTAGGATTGCTAGCAACTCAACCTAGACCCAACCCTAATTAAATTCAGATTGAGAGTTTTCAACTTAAGCACAACCCTAATCGTAAAAATGATTGCCCAAGCCCACGAAAAATTGAGCTGGGCTCGGGTTAGGTTTGGGTTGCCCAACCCAAATTGCACCCTTACCTAAAGGTTAAATCATAGGTGGGCATTGCTTGTTAGCTGTAGTTTTAACCAAATATTTTGTGTATAGAGAAGAAGAATGAATGAAGAAGCAAATACTTTTCTTATTGTATTGAATTGATTTCTACTACAAATGCCTTGGACAATATGTAGAGTCTTCTCAAAGACCATTAAACTTTCCATACATGCACACAATTGAAACATGTACACATTTTGTATAAGCCCAAAAGACATAATGAACATAACATTAATTTAATTTTAACACTTCCCCTTCATGCCATGTTGTGACACCCAACAACTTTCTAAAGTATTCAAACTTATTTTTTAGAAGTGCTTTGGTGAAGATGTTAGCAACTTGGTCTTCGATCCTACAATACTTGAGTTGAATCTCTTCATCCTCTACGACTGATAAGTGCTTAAATGTTGCACATTTCAGCACCTAAGTTAGGGGGTATTTCAATCCTTGCATTTATCTTACTTTCATGTTTTAGTCCTAATTTATGTTTATGTGTATTTCAGGATAATAAAGTTAAAATGAGCTAAGAATGATCCACTATGGCCTTTTGGAGTCAAGCCAGAATATCGGGACAACATTTAGAAGGAAGCAAGGATGCAGCAGTGCGTTGCATCCGGACGCCATATCCTGCGTCCGGACACAAGACTTTTATATTTGGCGTCCGGACGCCAAATGTTGCGTCCGGACGACATGCTACTAGCAGCAAATTTAGTTACGGGATTGACTTGTTTTTATGGCTACAGGTTTTGACTTATTAGGCTTATTTTTGTAAATTATTGCCTCCAATACGGTTTTGGACTTAAGGAAACAAGCCCATTATTTTTAGGGTTAGTTTTGCATTATTTTAATAGTTTAATTTTTATTATTTTGTTATTCTGAATGAATATATCGTTCTCTCTGGAAAACACGAAAGAGGAGAAAAAGCTAAGGTTTTGAGAAAAAGTACAGAGAAGAAGAAGAAGGGCAAAGATGATAAAGAAAAGGATGGAGATTGTTCCGTCTTCGAATCCATCAACCATGAGTGGTTAATTCTTTAACTTTGGGTTGGATAAACCTTAAGTATGTTACCTATTCTCTTTCTCTTTTCACTTTTTGGGGATGAATTTGTGTAATTAGTGTATAGTCTTGAATATTATGAATTAAATTCTTCCAATTGATTATCTGTATTAATCTCATGTTGTCTTATGTGTGGTTGATTGATAAACAAATTTTACACTTGAATTCTTTGTTAATTAATTCTTGTGATGGCTATACATTGAATTGATTAGTTGTAATTGTATTTCAAATTGATGAAAAATACTTCTATTTGATGGATGGCACTATATGTTTAGGTTAATTCATTATCTAATTAGTTTTAATTTCATGTTTAATTAGTTTAATTGTAATTTAATTAATTATTAGGTAAGTAGACCATTCATACTTGTGTTTGAATTCCATGCTCTTTGTCACAAATGCATTACCCACTTGATTGATGTATGTTAAAATTGTAACTTGAATTGATGAGTCATGCTTTGGATTGGTGGATTATACTACACCTAGTTTAATTGTCATTAAGTAGGTAATTCAAGCTTGAATTGATGATTCATACTTTTCTTCACAAATGTTAGCTACATTAGAATTACATAGTATTATTTCCCCAATTAGTTGAAAGTTAGTGAGTTAGGGAATGTACTTAGTGGTGAATCATATAACTTAAGTCTCTTTCTTAATTTTTAAAGTCTATTATTTTATTGCAAGTATTTAAATTAAAATTAATTCTAATCACAAAACAAACCTCTCTTTAGCAATCACACAAGCACTAAAGTAGAATTCAATTCTAAAAACCAATATTTGTTTAGATCTTTTGGGACGATCCCTACTCGCTTCATACTCCATAGCATAAGTGTTTAGTGGTTTTATAAATTATAAAGTATGATGCCCACTTGACATTATTTCTAAACCTAAAGTGTTGTGCATTATTTTGTGCACATGCTCGGTCGCATCAACGACCTCTCTAATAAAGTGATGCTTGATTGCAATGTGCCTTGTGCGACTATAGAAGACGAGATTATTTGCCATAGCAATTGCGGATTTGTTGTCGTATAAAATTGGAGTAGCTTCTCCTTACTTCTCACCAACATCTTTAAAAATTCTTCTTAGCCATATTGCTTGTAACGCTGCCAATGATGCTGAAATATATTCAGCCTTGGTAAAAGATTGCGCCACCATTTCTTACTTCTTGGATGCCGATGAAAATACACATGAACCAAGAGAGAATGTATAACCGGAAGTGCTTCTCATATCATCAACACATCTGGCCCAATCACTATCACAAATACTATAACTTTGCATCAACATTTTGCTCATACAAGATGCCAAAATCAAGTGTACCTTATATATATATATCTCAACACCCTCTTGGCTGCTCCAAAATGAATTTGGCTTGGATTATGCATAAACTGAGATAATAAGCTTATAACATACATAATGTCGGGTTTCATAGGTAGTGTGGAGCTTGATGGATACTGTACACTAAGGCCCAACTCTACGATTTTTTATTTTTTTAGGGGGGGTTATTTTGGTAATTTTTGCACTTGTAATGTTGCTCTAGTACGAGGGTATTTATTCATTCTGAACTCTTTATATCCGCTATTGTTTTGATTATCATAGTGAAATCTCTGCAACCGTTGGGCGTAGCCCTAGATTTTTGGTGAACCAAGTAAAATATGTGTGTTCTTATTATGTTTGTTAGATCTCTTTTCTTGCATTTTTTTTTTAATTTCGCAACAACTGGTATCGGAGCTATTAGGTTCGAGTGGGAGCGATGGGTACAAAAGAAGGAAAGATCAAGATCGACAAGTTCAATGGTATAGATTTCGAGTTCTGAAAGATGTGGATTAAGGATTATTTGTATTAGAAAAAGTTGTATCAACCTCTTTCTGTAGCAAAACTAGAAGAGATGAAGGTTGATGATTGGGCCCTTCTTAATCGGTAGGCACTAGGGCTAATTCATTATCGCATAACGTTGCCTTAAACATAGCAAATAAGACAACAATAGTAGGTTTGATGGCTGCCCTTTCAAATATTTATGAGAATCCCACTTCATCTAACAAAGTATATTTGATACGGCGATTATTCAACCTTAAGAATGTTTAAAGGCGCTTCAGTGATTGACCATCTGAACGAGTTTAACATTGTTATAACTCAGTTAAGCTCTATAAAGATCGAGTTTGATGATGAGGTTAAGGTGCTGCTTCTCTTATCCTTTTTGCCAGAAAGCTATAACGATACTATTACAACAGTGAATAGTTTTTTAGGGAAGATAATGTTTAGGATTTGATTCTCAGTGAAGATATTC